CAGCAGTCCTTCGCAGCTTTGATGCTGCAAGAATTCGGATCATAGCAGCTGTTATCTGACATATGAGGCAGCTCCACTAAGATCAACAAGAATAACAAAACATCTCTTCCATTAGAAACAGCCAGAGAAAATCCCAAAGCGCTGGCCTGTAAAAACAGCAGAGCTGGGTGAGGAAGCAGCGCTCCATGTGCTCGTGGAGATAAGCAGCATCTCTGTCTGTCAAAGGCTTCCCAGAAAAACGGCGGACATGGCAGAGAGCTCTGATGCTGAGGTGTCAGTTTGCAGAAAGCGTCTCATTTTCTGATTTCAGAAAGACAAAACATGCTCCCATTTAAAGTCTGCTTTGTATCAGCTGAAAAAAGTACTACAAAAAATTGGTGTTGCACCAATGCCTTTTTTTTTGGTCCCGATACCAGATACCTGGCTGTGCAGTATCAGCCAATACCGATACCATAACGATACCATCTGTTTGAAATTGATGTGTGTGTGTATAAATGAAGAACTGCATACTGCTTGGATGTAAAATAATTGCCATCATGGCTTTGTCAAGCTGCTGCCTTCCGTTGTGAAGCAGGAAAAAGACTAAAACAAAGGGCAACACAGAGACAAACAGGACAAACAACCATTTATACACCCACTCATCCATAAGGAGAATTTAGAGAAGCCAATTAACCTAACAATCATTGTTTTTTTATAACTTAATTTTTATTCCAATTTTTGCAACTTCCACAGATATATTAATACAAGCCCACGTTCAGTCTGCTGCTCTTCGCTTGCAGTATACCGTAATTTTCGGACTATAAGCTGCAACTTTTTCCCAATTTTTCGACCTTGCAACTTATAGTCCAGTGCGGCTTGTATATGTACAAATCATGCAATTTAGCTTCTGCGGCTTATATTCAGGTGCGGCTAATAGTCCGAAAACTACGGTACTGGTTAAACATGAGTAACTAACAAACATACCGGTAGTTATCAATTAAATACTGCGCTAATGGAGATAGATGAATGAAATAAAAATAAAATAATTAAGTAAAAATAAAGGAGTAAAATACATATATAAAAAAGAAAAAAAATAAATAAATATATAAAGGAGATTTTTACTGCATTAGTATGGTCATGGCCGGTTTCCACCTATTAACAAATATGTCTTTTTGAAGCTTCCGGCAACAAGTTATTTATTCCATATGACAGATTTCTCAGACCTTTTTAAATCCACGTTTGTGGACCAGGCTTCAGCCATGATGCATTTAAGAGCTGCAATAAGTAAAATTTGTACAAGGTATTTTTTTTTTCTCTTCCAGTAATGTCTTTTGGTAATAACCGTCCTGTTTTTGGACTGTGGGAGGAAGGTGGAGTACCCAGAGAGAACCCACACATGCTCAGAGAGAATATGTTAACTCCATGGAGAAAGAATCAAACCCTGAACCTTATTGCTTCAAGGTAGCAGTGCTACCCACAGCGCTACTGAGCAGCCCATTTTGTCCTTCCTTTTAAGCAAAATACATTCAGAATTGAACAAGCAAATGCATAAATGTCCACTTTATGAAGCTACTTTCAGTGCAGACAGGGTCCATCAGATTAATATTAATGTACTTTTCTTCTTTGACTATTTTGAGCTGATGTAACAAGTAAATTTCTCCTCTGTGATATCAATATAATCAATCAAATAATTCCAATCCCTCCCCAATACTTGACCACTATTACTCTCAAAGAAGGAAATGACATATAAACTGTTTATGCCAAAAGGCAGCAGTTGAAGTAAAGGTCTAATTTATGATTGTTTGGTTATTTTTATATGGTTCATATGCTAATATGGAAAAAAATATTCTACTTTAGGTTTGCAAAAGTGAAACAAAGGTTCACACCTTTGCTGTAATCAGGTTATTTTCTGTTACTTCCCACATATTTCTCCAGAAGAACCATCATTTCCAGTAGCTAGACGTGACGTCTGAAGTGGGTGAAATGATCAAGAGAAGTGCCATTAAATTCACATTAACGGTTAATTACCACAAACACGTTAAAACAAACATGACTGCATTAAAGGGTATAAAGATCGGAATTATTCGGCTCACCAATCTGAAACGAAAACCTTTACATTTTACCCAACAATAAAAAAAATACCTTAACCAATGCATTTAGAATACACATGAACGATATGAATAAAGTAGTCATCTGTTACAAATGCAACAAGCCTGGTGGATGAAACACCAGCCGGATAAAGCTGTATGTACAGACTCATTAAATTGGAGGCAGAGTCTGGTGTTATCTGGACCGGATCAGAACCAGCGAACTAAAACCGAACAAAGTGGAGCTTTTCTGAAGGAGCGTTGGTTCCAGCAGGAAGCAGCAGAGAAAAAGACAAACAGCTGACGTTTCCTGGAGGACCAAGTCCTGCTGTGACCGCAGCGTGACCGTGAGTCCTGTGAGTGGTCACAGGAACACCCACGACAGGAAAGCTGAACCCACGGACCTTACAGCAGAGGTCAAGAACCAGAACCAGAACCAGAACCAGAGCAGAGGTCCACTTCTGGCCGATTCACACAGAGAACCAGGATATACCAGAGCTTCCGGTGAGGCTAACAGGACAAATTCTGCTTTGAATTACAGCGTGACAGAAAACGGTACCTGCACGAACCGAACCGTCCCACGGAGCCTGGACACAGCTGCAAGCCCACTCTCCGTGTTTCTGTGAATCAGCCTCCTCCACTGCACTGACTGTACTCTGCTGCGCATGCGCAGACACAAGCGAGGACGAAGGTAGGAGACCCAATGACGTCAGGAGGCAAAGCAGCCAATGAGCGCAGCAATAAAAATAAGAAAAACATTAAACAGACTCACTATAGCCTATATATATGTATATATAAATATATACATATATATATATATATATGTATATATATTCAAGATACAGACATCAAAACTATGAATTAACACATGTGGAATTATATACTTAAAGCTACAGTGTGTAATAATTACAGGGATATACAGTCAGAAATGTATTATATTATACATAACTATGTTATTTATCATCATCTACGAGCTCAGCCTCTTAACCTTAATATTTGCGTTGCCTTAGAATTCG